CCCTTGCGGTTGGGGGTTTTTCTTCTCTGCCATCGATCGGGGTTAGGCACCCAGAAAGGTAGGCATAACAAAACAAAGCCCACATGGTAAGAAAATAAAACAAAAATTGAACAAAGCGGTAGAAACTCCCTACAATCTCAAGGAAACAAGCAAACATCACACTTTACTGCCGTGCCGATTGTCCGCGCAGTCCTTCCTGGCCCGAGCGGGGGAGGGGGGGGCCCGGACCTCACCGCACTGGTTGCCTAGCACCAGTTTGGAAGCTAAGCTTCAACAACACGAAAAAACACCGACCGGTGGGAGGGAGGGTTGCCAGGGAGCCTCCAGGGCTCACCCAGAAAAAGGCATTTCATTACATTCAACGCTGGTTTTCTGTAGGGAGCCCCCTACGGCTCCCTGGAGCTTCACACCCAGAGAGAAGGAAAAGAAAGGGCTGTCCTGGGAGGCGGCCGCCACAAACTCCACAATGCGAAGTCGAGACAACAGGCACCAACCTGCAACCCAAGGCAACACAAGAACACTCAGGAGCAGACACGCTCAAAAATGAATGGGCAGCCAAGAACCTGTGCGAACTCCAAATCCTCTCGCACAAATTGAGCCCAAGACGTCACTAAATACGACAGCGAAAGCTGCAAACGTCCGAACAGCACGGGCGCAAGGATAGACCGCAGGCTGGTAGACAAAAAAAAACAACCTGGGAGACCCAAGACCTGAACAGGGAACGAGGGAACCGGATCAACCCAAAGTGCATCCCCAGCCATGGCACTCAGGTAACGGCAAAGAGCCACAACCGGACAACACATTTCGCATCCCCGGCTGAACCAACCAAGCATCAAAAAACCCAAGATCCCTCCGGAAAGCAGCCATCACGACCGTCGCCAGAAGGATGGAGAAAGGCTGCAAGTGTATAAACCTACCACCAGTACCAAAAGACCAGAATCCTCTGCGCCGGAGGAGAGCCGGAAGCTCCCCGACCCGACCCACAGAGGCCAATGCCAACAGAGTATGGGTCTTTGAAAAACAATCTTGAACCGAAGGGGCTCCCACAAACTGAGGAGAGAAAGGATAAAAAGGCCACCTGATCAAGGACCAGGACAGCTCAGGCAGAGCATGAGCAGGCCGGAGGTGAAAAAACACGAGAAGCGTACGGAACGGGGCAGATGTGGCGTCCACCCAAAACGCAAGCCAGAGCAGCACTGTCAGCTCTGCACAGTACAAGGCGACAGTAAGAAGTCGCCTCATCAATAAACAGTCCTGAAAAACGCAAGAAAGGACAAGACAACCAGATGCAAAGGAGTAGACAACCTACGAAGAACAAGTAAATGGCGAATAGAAACACCAGGAACGTCATACTGTCGCTGAGTCGAAGCTCGCAGATGAGACACCATCAACTAAACCACATGATCACTAAAAGATGGTGATACACCCGCGTCAGCAGAGCAGACACAAAGAGCCGAGGAGAAGGCCAAACCAGTCACGTACAGGACCAAGGTCCGACCTGCCGAAGGAGGCGGACCCGCGGGAAATGCCCCAGATTCGGACATCTATCAAGCAGCATCTGAAAACAAAGCTGGGCCAGCTACCAAGAGACCACAAGGACTACTCTTCTTGGGAAGGACTCCAACCGAGCCAGAACCCAAAGTAACAGCTGAACCGGGAGAAGAGGAACAGGCAACTCCACCTCGACCAGTCCTGCCGAAGGCATCTACCGTGATGAAGGCCCATGTCTGCACTAGAACAGGCGGGAACCTCAGAAGGATGGGGCAGAACGACCACGTCCAAACACATCCACACCAAGATGACATGACGAGGCGCAGGGGAAGAAGCTCACCCCGCCAGCCCCAAACCCCCCAAAGAGGGAGAAGCCGCCTGACGCCACCAGAGGCCGGAAGACAACCACAAGTGAGAGCCAATAGAGCAAGCTGCTACCCCAGCGCTCCATCAACAGTGATGGGAACGGAACCCCTTCCGAAAGAAAATGTATATATATAAATACACACACATACATACATGTACATATATATACATATATACACATATATACATACATACACAAAATGTATAAAAACATACATACACGTAAATAAAAATGAAAAAAATAAAATAAAGAAAAGACAAGCTGCTGACCAGTGGGCAGAGAGCACCACGCCGGCCAGACGAAGAAGGCACCAACAGCACAAAAACAGCACCAAAAGGCCCACCTCGACAACAAAAACCCAAGGCCCCAGCATGATCACAACAAGTGCCACGACCCAAAAAGATCAGCCAGCAAACCAGGAAGACCCCGAAACCCCAGAAGGCAGAACCAGGCCATAAACGAGGTAACAAAAGCCCCCCTGAACCCACAAAGGGGGCAAAGAGGAAGAAACCTCCGGAACGAATCCAAAGAACCCAAAGGAACCTGGGGTAGCCCAAACTACCGCATTTACTGGCGGAATTACACCACAGCAGGGCAATGCACAGCACCCAGACAGAACCCCCAGGGAAACAGCCAAAACAGACCGAAAACCAGGGAAGGTGTGGGAGCAAGCATAAACAGACAGGGACACTGAGCCCAAACCCTGGGGCACAGACCCAAAATAGACAGAAAATGCAAAAACCGGTGTAAAAACCAACACCCAAGCATTCCCAGAGGAACAAAAGATGGGCATAAAACCCCAGAAAAGCAAAGAAACTGCAACAAGAGGATAAAACCCCTGAAAGAACTGAAAAAACTCACCGAAAATGTGAGCTCCTACACCCCAGCCGAGGTAAACAAACTGTCGCTCCACCCTGGTGGCCAAGCAGGGAGTTATCAGCAGAAAAGAAAATGGCCACCACACCAAGGATGTGGTGGCCATTGACTGATGCAATAGAGCCAAAAACATGCCAGCAAATGTGGGAAGCAAGCAGACTAGAGGGCCAAAAAATCCTGCCCATAAGCAGAAGACCCAGGCAGGGGCAAACAGCCCCAGAACTGCAAGCGGGCATCCTCCATAGCCCCGGGAACCCACAACAGAGGGCCCCAGGGCAGAGCCATCCTCCACGCCCTCTGCCCTTAAAAGAAAAGGAAGAGTCCAGGGGAAAAGGCAGCAAAGAAAGGGCCGCTGATAAAACCCAGAAGCCTTGGCAGGAGGAACAGGCTCGAAAATTTCCGCCCCCAACTTGAACAGGCCCCCCCCCCCTGAAGCCACCCGAGTCTCGACACCAACTAAACCCAGCCCCGACCCCATAACCCGCAGACGGTCAGGAGCCAGAAACAGAGGGGGGAAAGGGGCAAACAGCACCTAACCAAAACGGGGTGGCTACGGGGCATCCTGGTGGAAAACCGATCTAGTGCATTGCAGCAACCTAAACCTAGCTTGCAACACGGATGCCGCCTGTACTCTGAATAATAAGGACATCAGAAGAGTATTGGAGAACAAGCAGAGAACACCTCTCGCAAGACTGCGGGTCAAGGTGTCAGTGACCCAACAGGCAGCATGATGGAGGCAAAAGAGGCAACCATCACCCTGAGACAAGGGCACAGCAACCAACGAACCTGCACAAGGCAGGATGGAACCCGGAAGACACATCCAATGGTCCACCAAGCCCCAACAAGGTTTTCCAGGGACCGTAGGCTGACTGCTACGGGAAGCCCAAAGTGTTGCTAACTGGTTAAACACCCAAGCTAACAAGGGGTAGATGCAACACTGAAAACCCCTGCGACCTGTACAATCATGGGGGCCTAGCAGAGGGCCACCAAACGCTACCAGTGGAACTATAGCCACACTAGGCAGACCCCCACCAGGTAAATAAAAACAAAAGAAAATCCCTGCAAAAGTACACCATCCCCAGAGGCAACAGGAACCGGCCGCCACGTAGGTGGCAGGCCGCGGAACCCCTTGACGCCCTAACCAGCACAACACCAGTCCCTAGAGAAGGTCAAACAAGGGCCCCAAGCCCCAGCTGGCCACAAGGGAGAGGCAAAAGCTGAGCAGCAGGGACCTCTAAGGGAATGGTTCCTGAATGCCTCAGGGAAGATGACCCAGTCACACAGGGGCAGTACTCACAGGGCATTTAGGGAAGGAAGCCCCTAAGCGCATGCAGCCCCGGTACTGATGAGGAACACCTGGCCACCGCACAACACAACACATGGCAGTGAACGCAACGAAGGCAAACACCGCCTTGGAAACTGAGGCCAAAGAGGTGTCTGTCCCGGTTGACATTAGCTTACAAACTGGTGCTAGGCAGCCGGCGTGGCGAGGTCCAGGGCCCCCCCTCCCGCTCTCGGGGTGGGGAGGGCTGCGCGGACCATCGGTGTGGCAGTAAAGTGTGATGTTTGCTTGTTTGCTTGTTTCCTTGGGATTGTAGGGAGTTTCTACCTCTTTGTTCAGTTTTTTGTTTTAGTTTTTTACCATGTGGAGTATATTTTGTTATGCCTATCTTTCTGGGTGCCTAACCCCGGTCAATGGCAAATAAGGAAACCCCCCAACCACAAGGGGGTTTTCCAGGGCCATTGCTTCCTGAAACCTCTCTGAAGGGGCCAGGTTCTGGCGCTAGTCCCTGGTAGGTCTGAACTCCATAGCTAATGTCCTGGTCTAATATATAACATACATTAGCCCGATAAGCTCCAGGGAGCCGTAGGGGCCGAAGAAAATAAATTATCTAGGTTTCCATAAGCCAGCTACTGACCTCTTCCCAGATGCAATCTACAACAACTGCTAGGTGAACAGTGGTTGTGTTTTAATTTACTTAATCCCTAACATCTCTGTGCAACACTAAATCATGCAATTTGTTGGTAATATGTTTACAATAAATACTGTACATGTACAGTAATGCAGAAATGGTTAGAAATTAGTGTCTTAGTAAACAGTTATAAAAGTTGAACAGCAGGTATTAGTTAGATTTCTCTGTTGGATAATCATATTTTTGATACTGGGAAACAATAAACAAATAAACAGCAATAATACAGTACTGTGTAACAAAATTAGGAAAGAAGAACAAAAATGAGAGAATGAAAGTTACTATTAAAATCTTACTATTTTGTGCAATAAACTGGTTCTCCAAGAAGCTGAGGTTCACATCAACGAGTCTGTGTCCATGGTCATACATCTGCCGCTGGGGTACACTCAGGGTGAAGAACATGATGGGAGAGGCATTACAGTTGAGGGCCTCCAAGTACTGCTGAAAAGTTTCTGGCAGCTCCTCCAGTGGTGCCAGTCTCGGACATGAACCCCACAGTTGTGCTGCCCACATGCATGTGAAAATCTCATTTATTTATTTCACATCAGTTTTCAGATATCTGGTTTTATAAATTTTATGAGAAAATTTATGTACTGTACTGCATTTGAAAAACTAAAATTTCCTGTTTTTAATTAACTCCCTATACTTCCTCTTATAAACTGCAAATGAAGGAAACATTTTGAGTTGCTAAAATTGTACATAGCTCTCCCCTAAGTTACCAAAAGCACTTTACATTTTCTCTTTTTTCCCCAAAAATGTAATCTTGTTTCCCAAAGCTCCAGAGGAGAATTTAACCTCACCAGGTATCATGGGAGTCAGGTGAATCAATATGCGATGACTTTTATGGTTAATGTTGACCGTGAGAGCTGAGGTAGTCTCTGTGATCCTCACCTTAGCACCAGGTACTTCGATAGACTCCACTAGTGAGCGAAGCCTGCCGTATAGAGGAAGAGGGGTGGAAATATAAATGAAGGGAATAAGATCACAATGTAGTAGTAAATAAGTAGCAAATAAATGCAATAATATAATAATAAAACTAGATATTTTCCTATTGCAGCCAATCATGGCAGTAATCTCTAGTTCCTCTCGTCAAGCACATTTAAAGAAATACAAACCATATTATAAAATATTTGTGAAAATTAAAAACATTAACCTTCTTATTATACAATACTGAAATATTCTTAAAGAAATAAACACACTATAGACATGCAAACACTACCAAGTCTCTTGATTTGTGCAGGTCTACAGGAACGAGGCAAGGAAAGCCTGGAAATGAGAGATAGTGGCCAAATGGACTGTTTGTGAGGGTTGGAGGTGTGTGTGGGTGACAAGTATGCATGGCTGGTGCTAAGTGACTGGGGTGTGTGGGTTGGTGTAATTACCTAAGTAATTACCTAAGTGTAGTTACAGAATGAGAGCTATGCTCGTGGTGTCCCTTCTACCATATGTATGTGTATAAAGTATATATGGAAGCTGATCAGAATTACATTTCACCTTTGTAAATGCACATTAATGACACTATGTAAAAGACACATCGAACACTTTATGTAGGGCATACGTAAACCTGTGTATCTATGTATTTACGTATGTAGGTTAGCTTAGCATTTTACAAGCACCGAATCACCTTCTGCGGTTGATTGTTCAATAAACCCTTGAACTATATGTTTAACACATCTCTAACCCTGTCCATGGAGGACAGAAGAAAATGTATATATGCTGGTTAGCATTGTAACTGTGTGGCCACGTCTGTGGTAGAAAATAATAATAATAAAAAAACAGCACTCTTTGTCATATAAAACTTTGAAATTACTGTCGGTTTTGGCCTCCACTTCACTAGGGAGCCGGTCGGCCGAGCGGACAGCACACTGGACTTGTGATCCTGTGGTCCTGGGTTCGATCCCAGGCGCCGGCGAGAAACAATGGGCAGTTTCTTTCACCCTATGCCCCTGTTACCTAGCAGTAAAAATAGGTACCTGGGTGTTAGTCAGCTGTCACGGGCTGCTTCCTGGGGGTGGAGGCCTGGTCGAGGACCGGGCCGCGGGGACATTAAAAAGCCCCGAAATCGTCTCAAGATAACCTCAAGATCTCAAGATAACCTTCTCGCCTAACTTGTTCCAACCGTCTACCACCCTGTTTGCGAAGTGAATTTTCATATATTTCTTCAGCTTCTTTGTTTGGTTAGTTTGAATCTATGACCTCTTTTTCTTGAAGTTCCAGGTCTCAGGAAATTTTCCCTATCAATTTTATCAATTCCTGTTACTATTTTGTACGTAGTGATCAAATCACCTCTTTTTCTTCTATCGTCTAGTTTTGGCATATTTAACCCTTAACCGTTGGGCCGCTAAGGGTAATTATTGGCTTCAACACCCACAGGTACAACAACAACAAAAAATAATAAAAAAAAATCTTATTAACCCTTAAGCTGCTAAGGGATCCTGAGGAGATTTACACCCCTGTGCACAAGAAAAAAATTCTAAAAAATTGTTTCGTCTTCTAAAAATGTTAATTTATGTTCCTTGAGCCCGGGAAAAATAAAAAATATATTGTAGGCGACATATTTTGGGCACAATATAGGCCGAGGAAGTCTGGCAAAATGTGGGCGTTGACAGAGCTGTCATCAGAACTGGTCAGCGTCACCCGAGCTGACAGGTGGGAATTGCTACAATGATATTATCACCTAATTATTTTAATGTCTCTGATTGATTTTTTCTTAGTTTTTTGCAGTAATATTATTCAATAGTATGTAGTGTGATAGATTTATATAATAAAATGTGTGAATCTTCGCTATACTCAAAAATACGGTGTTCATATTAGTGATTCATTTATTATGTTAATAAAGCAATAAACAAAGAGTTTTGCAGTTATTACACTATATACAGACATTATATATATAAGTATCTACATGTTTTGTTCACCACAACTGTACAACTAAGCTGAAATAGTTAGTTCAGGCACTAAGAGACATCGCTACACACACAGTTGGCGGCTGCCTCCTTCACTCATTTAAAGTCAGGCTCACTAAAATATCTCCCCCCCCCAAATACTGTTTGGGGTGTTATTACAGTATATACACACATTATATATAAGTATTTACTTGTTGTATGCACCATAACTTCACACCTAAGCTTGTAGAGTACCCAAAGAGCATAGTGACCACCCTCTACACAGTTAGACAAGTCATGCAGACGACGCCACCTCCGTCACCCAAATGGCTCCTCCCAACATAATCCTTTTGCTGATATTTTACTAATACACACATTATATATAAGTATCTACATTTGTGTTCACCATAGAGAACCACTGAGCTGGTATGGTGAATGCAGACAATAACAGGTGGCCACACAAAGAACAATCCTAAGTATTGTAGTACAGGTTGATGATAGTGAGTGGTGTCCCAGAGAACATAAAGGTATAGTGCTTTTGTAAATAAGTGAGATAACAGGAATGTGCTAAGGGCAGTGAAAAATCGGATGAGAAAAAGTTGCCCTAGTGTTTCCAGTGCAGAGAAGAACATTTAAGATGGCCGCCAGCAAGAGGAAAAACAAAACAGAGCTTGATTTTGCGGGATTCAATGAAGAAAGCATTGATATTAGCAGTCTACACAACAAGTTGGTAAACTTAGATACTATAGTGAACTCTCATGTAGAAATAATTAGTAAATTGAAAGAAAGTAATGACCATTTGAATAGCAAAGTTTTATGTCTTGAGGGTTTAGTAAAAGACTTGCGCAAGGATAAGAATCAATTGGAAACAAATTGCAAAGCCATGGAAGAAGAAAATAAACTCTTAAAAATAGCTTTGGAAGAAGTTAAAGTAAATTTAAACATAAATGACTACAATAGGTTAGGTAAGGAAATTCAACAGGAGAAACAGCTTTTGTCAGCACAGATGGAGGAAGTTACACAGGGAATAGAACAGTGCAAGAAAGATATGCAACTCACCTATGCACAAGTGGCCAAGGAGAAGGAAAAAATTGAAGAAGCAGTAAAGGAAGCCAAACACTGCAGACCCCAAGATAAAACAAACATTAGGCTGGAAGTGAGAAAGGAATTGGCATCTAATCCGAAGTTGGTGCAAAACTCAGTTTATCGGAGTAAGTCCCTGATAATATTTGGTTGCAAAGAAAAGGAGATAACATCTAGGTCAGAAAGAGCTGTAGAAGAAGCGAAAGTAATAGATAAAATTGTTGGCCTCATAGAAGGTCTTACTACCATAGAGAATGTGTGCGACTACAGGAGAATAGGCAGATACGTAAAAGGGAAACATCGACCTTTGAGGATCACCCTAAACGGTGCCAAACAGATGGAAGAAGTACTAAGGAATGTTAGAAAATTACAAAGTGATGAGGATGAGAAAGTGTGGTTGTTAAGATGAGATCTTTCAAAAGAAGACAGAGAGAAGCTGAAACTGAACCTCGTCGAGGCAAAACGTTTAAATGAGAGCAGGAATGAAGAAGAAATCAATTCTTTTTTCTACAAAGTGTTAGGGGTAGGCAGACCAGTAAAGTGGTACATAAAGGCAAACCAACAAAATCAATAGAGAGAGGGGGAGTGAAGAATAAGGAGAGGAAGAACAAGTTCCTGAAGATTGCATACACCAACGTAGATGGAGTGAGATCGAAGATACTGGAGTTAAGTGATGTAATACAGCTGCAGACACCAGACATTGTTGCACTCATGGAGACAAAACTTGAAGATGTTATTTTAAATAAGGTATTCCCAAGGGGCTACTCAATTTGTAGATGGGACAGAAAAATTAGGAAAGGCGGTGGCGTTGCTATGCTGGTGAAAGAACACCTTAAGGTGAAGGAAATAATGACTGCCAATCCACAAGAAGTTGACATAATAGCACTAGAGATCTGCCATGAAGATGATAATCTAATGATCATAAATGCATATAGTCCACCGCCAAGCAGCACATGGTCAAAGGAGAAGCTAGATAGTAAACGAGAAGGTCTTATAACAATAATGAGAGATTATAGCAAGAGCGGATAATGATAGATCACGACTGTTGATAGTCAGTGACTTCAACTTGAAATCTATAGACTGGGAAGTATATGAAGCTAAAACAGAAGATTTTTGGACCTGTAAATTTGTAGACCTCATCCTGGAAACATTCTTGTATCAACATGTTAAACAAGCTACGAGGATGAGGGAAGGGGACGTTCCCTCCATGCTAGATTTGATATTTACCAGGAATGAGGAAGAGATATTTGACATTCAGTACCTTTCTCCCTTGGGTAAAAGTGACCATGTCGTTTTAGGAATAAAGTATGCAATGTGTTATAATCTGGAAGAAAATAAGGAGGTTGAAGCAGTTGAAAAACCTGACTTCAGGAGAGGACATTATGGCAACCTTAGAATTTTTTTTAGTGAGTATAATTGGACAGACTTGTTGCTAGGCAAGTTAGTGAATGAGATGTATGTCAAGTTTGTGAAATATATGATAAAGGCACAAAAAAATTTATACCAAATCAGAGATGCAGAACTAGGAAATAGGATTGGTTCAATAGAAATTGTGAGAGGGCCAGAGACCAAAAGACACAAAAATGTAATCAACACAGGAAGAGGCCAAACCCCCAAACATACCAACGATACAAAGATGCGAGAAACAACTACACGGCAGTGAGGAGAGAGGCAGAAAGAAATTTTGAAAAAGGGATTGCAGACAAATGTAAAACAGAACCAGGTCTATTCTATAAATTCATAAACAACAAATTACAGGTAAAGGATAATATTCAGAGGTTGAAAATGGGAAATAGATTCACAGAAAATGAAAAGGAAATGTGTGAAACACTAAACGAAAAGTTCCAAAGTGTGTTTGTACAAAATGAAAACTTTAGAGAATCAGACACAATAAGAATTCCAGAGAACAACATAGAGCACATAGAGGTGTCTAGAGACGAAGTGGAAAAAATGCTCAAGAAGCTAAGTA